CCGTCTCCTGACAATTTTCTGAGTCTGTCGGCAACATTACAGGCTAACGCAGCTAATCGCCGGAAGTTCGTTGACCTATCTCTCAACGAGCGTGCTGTTTGCCTATAACTGGACGCTGCATCATATATCACAATAATCTCTAAGAAGCTCTGGCAGCGACTTAGCGCCCCCCCCAAAATGCAGAAGGCTCCTCAGTGCGCCACAAGTCAGTGCGGTGGCCTTGTGCAGTTAATAGGGCAGCTACAGTGTGGTGTTTCCTCCCGCGGCAATAGCATCACTGCTAGTTGCTACATCACCAAGTCCAACCTCAATATCCTTGGTCTTGATTGGATTGAACAATTTCGCTTTGTTGAGTTGCCGCTCCACCTTGTTTGTAATCTAGTGCAGATTCCGGGTGTACCTTCAGTACCCGCCAATGACACTCCCCAGGCTGCCAAAACACCTGCTCCTCAACCGCGAGATCCACGGAAAACTCCGCATAGGCCTTGGTTCGTGTGCACGTCAATTTTGGTAGCCCACTCAATGGTGTCACTTACCTTGTCTTGGTTGACGCCTACTCAAAGTAGCCTGAGATTGTACCGCTAAACTCGGCAACCACTTCTGCCACGATTGCCTACCCACGGCGCATCTTCATCCAACACGGCCTACTGGATAATGGCTCACAATTTACCTCATCCACCTTTGAAGGTTTCTGCTGCCAACACCACATCCAGCATATTCGCACCCCGTCATACCATACTCAATCAAACAGTCGGTGGAACACTTTGTTGACACCTTTAAATGAGCCCTGCTGAAATCTCATGGGGAAAGGACTAAGGACGAGATACTCCAGCCATTTCTGTTTTCCTACAGAACCACCCCTAACGCGACTTCTTCTGGTGGTGTCTCCCCTGCCGAAGCATTAATAGGCCGGAAACTTCGAACGAAATACTACTAATCAGCCGTCCTCACAATCACTTCCACCCGTCTCTCGCGGCAAGCTCTCCGTCGGAACACCTGTCTTTGTTCGTAACCACCGAGCTGGGCTCCCAGACTGGATTGAGGGGACAATAACAGCGCACTGAGACAGCATGCCCTTTGACGTCTCTGTCGGTGATAAAACCTGGGTTCGTCACCACATCAGATCCGACGGCGGCAGTGCAGTAACCTAAAGGGACCTGAATCTGGTGCTTCACTCCCTCTCGACATCCTGCTGGGCATATTTTTCATTCCAACGGACCACTCA